TGTACGAATCGCTGTATTTATAAACTTAAAAGTCTATGACCTCATTTAATCCGAATAATTTAGTACGATTGATGAATGCTGCCGTCGGAAATTTTAAATCGATATCTTGAGGATTTGTAACCTGTTTCTAGTGGAATATAGGGCTTCACACTTGAGCTTTGAAGTTTCATTGGCAATAATTTTGTCTTTACAGAGTGAGGTTGCAAGCCTCACACCAAACTTTTTTCTTTACCGGCCCTATTACCGGCTAAGCGAGGTTTAGGAGTGAGTTGACCGGGAGTCGAACCTCGGACCACGTGAGGAGTGGCTGGAGATGTTTCGACCATTGAACTGTTGAAGATTCCTAAGGATCATTCCTATTTATTTTGAGTTTCGAATATCAATAACGCATCAGTAGTTTATAATTTCACTATTTATCTAATGGGGAAAGTGTCATAAGTGCACCCTGCCGAATTTTTAACGAGAAGTTGTGTCCCCATGATACCCAGCATATCTAGTGTGAGGCCGGATAGTCATCGGTGGCATTTCATAGCAGTGCTGCGGTGCATTTTCATCATGGGGCTTTATACAAAATCCCAGTCGTGCACAAGAAATCAATGGGAGGAAAGATAGTTGTGTAGTGAATAACCAGAGTTTAATCGACCTGTGAGGTCAAATAAGGTGAATACATCTGTCACATTTAGCATGATTTTAAGACAGTTCACTTTATGTCCCTAACACTTGAGTTCTTAGCGTCCTGAGGACCTCAGCCAGGCAGTTTATACCTCCCCATATGTCTCAATCACATGGTGGAATACTGTACGGATTGATATCAGGTTTCGATTTGACCACGAGTAGGTCTTTTCCAACCCGATCGTTTCTGAAAAAGGAATGCAATGACATGTCAGGTATGGATCATATATTAGCCGTTACAATCGATGCAGTTTAAGAACCACATAGATTAACTTTTCCGCCTTGCCTCAGACTGTACGCAAAAGCTCACCATATTACACTAGAGATGGAATACAATCATCAGTGGTCGCTACGAAGTGAACTCATGTACCATCGCATTCCTGATCAGTGATTAAATGTTCATGTGGCTGTTTGGTTTGATATCTGTTGGTATCATGAATGGGAGACACTGAAAAATACCCAGCAAGAAAGGAACAGCTGTCTTATTCTACCTTGTCCTCCGATCGATTTCCGTTTTGTGAGGAAATTTATACTGAATCGAATCAAAATCGATAAAAGCCTGAATGCTAAAGGTTTGTCTTCTCTCTGTGTGATGTGTGTGTGTGTGCACAAAATTGATGAGTGTAGCTGAAGTAATACTTGTTGTTATATATTGTTATACTGTTGCTGATACCTTGGGTCCTGAGTGGAATGTAGGGCTTCATGGGTACGTCTCCACATTATTCTATTTTCTGCTGTCTTCTCTATCTGATTCGCTCCACGATTCCCCATGGTCACTCATTTCCTCCTCATCATCATCTCACGATCTCCTCCATGTAACTCTTGGACATATGCCCATTCGTCTATTCTCATTCAGTTTCCACCCGAACACTTGCTTGGCGTGAGATGTCACTCGGCAGTTTCCTCAGCATGTGCCCACAACACATTTCCATTTTCTCCAACATATTTGGTGAGCGATCGGTTCTTGATTATTCTGCTCCCATAGTATCTTGTTGCTAATTCTTCCTACAGTATGGAGCCAGCCATCGAATGTGGCAGCTGTTGATAAAAGGTTGCAGCAGACTGTCAGAAATGCTTTTCGTGACGCGCTGGTCGAGTTTCCAACACATATAGAACTGACTGACTTTACATCTGTGTTGAAAATCCTAATCTTGTTCTATGTACTGTGGAGTCCAGAAAATTTTGCAAACTGAATTCAGAGCGTTGACGAGTATTTTGCCTTTCCGATTCCGGCCGTGACATCTTCATCCGCGGCATCTGCCTGTGGTTGGAACTATGCTTTCTAGATAAATGAAGGAAGTAACTTCTGCCAAGACTCTCTCGTTGATCGTGATTGGTGTTTGTTGTTGTTGTTGCTGGTTGGTTGTTTGGTTAGTTGGTTAGTGACCTTCGTCACCTCCATCTTCTCTATGTTCACCTGGAGTCCTGTCTTCTCTGCTTGCTTCTTCAGTCAGTATGTTGGTTTTCGCCTGTCGATCTTCGAGTTTGTGTGATATTTGATATAAATTATCCACGCGCAAAATCCAGATCTTCTAAAGTCTTTTTATCAGTCCAGTGTGTTGTCGTCTTCTTGCTCCCAACTCACAGTCTGACGCATAATGCAGTCCACCTGAATTGGTGATATCATCGGTGATAGAAGTCATCCGCCTAGTCTTACTCCTGCCTTCACTTCAAAAGCTTCGTTGAGTTTTCCGTTGTGGTTCCACTGACACGTGGCACTGTCATATAGCCAGCTGTTGAATGGGGCTGGCAAAGATTTGGATCACTGCACGCCAAAGTGTTGAGGGAGTTTCCAAATTACTTCTAGGTCACTGCCGTCGAAGGCCTTGAAAAGTCGGTGGAGTTGAGGTAGAAAGAGGTTTGACCGCCATCCCTGGGCTTTCTTCTGTGAAGAAGATGCGTAGGATGGCAATTGGATCAGCGTTAGATTCGCCTTTCATAAATACGGCTTGTTCTAGGTTGATGGATTTCTGTTTCTAGTGCATCTTTTATTCTCTCAAGGCTGACACGACATAGTATTTTACTTGGTGTGGAAAAGAGCATTGTTCCACTCCAGTTCTTACACAGGCCTAAGTCACCCTTCTTTGGCAACTTGACAAGGTAGTCAGCCTTTCTTCCAATCGGTAGGCATTTTCCTTCCTTCCATACTTTTCGTAATAATGGTGTGAGCAAATTTGCAACAGCCTCTGGGTCCGTTTTTAGTGTTTCACGGTAGGGGGAATTCCGTGTGGTCCTGCTGCCTTTCTGAATTTCAGTAGCTTGATCGCATTTCGGATTTCTGCTTTCGTTGGAGAATTCATGTACACCGGCAGTTCTGTAAGTGCTGTTGTTGGTATTTCTGGGTAAGTTGCAGGTGGTGTTCGATTCAACAGTCCTTTGAACTGATCAGGCCATTGTTTTATTGGTCTCTCCTCCTTGGCAATTAGGTTCCCTTGAAATTCTTTTATAGGTTTCACATGAGTTGACCTTGTCTTGGATACAGACCTGGTTATCTAGTATAACGTTCTAAGGTCACTTACCTGCCGCCAGCCCGTTCTGCTTCTGTTACCAGGGTGTCATAGAATTAACTTTTGTCTTTCTTAGCCCCCTTCTTTACTTTTTTGTTTAGTGCCATGTACACTGAACTCAGCCTCCCTTTCTGTTTTCCATCTTTCCATTGTGTCATCTTCAGTTTCACCATTCTCCTTTATTCTATTAGCTTCGAGATGTCCATTGAGAGCCATCCTGTATCTTACCTCTTCTTTCATCCTAAAATAATGATACATGTTTTCTTGGACATCATCTTATAGCGAGCTGCAATTTTCTTGACGTAGGTTTACCTACTTATGCGATTCATATATCTCTGGAATCTCTACTGATGGTCTCCCTTGTAGTTTTGTCCTTCAGTTTCTGAGTGTTGAACGTGAACTGGGGTCTGTCTTCAGTTGTTTTGGAGACTTCCAGGTTTACCATAAAGGTTCCTTGAACTAGATGATGGTCTGAGCCCACATCTGCTCCCTTTCTTGACTCTGTGCTTAGCAGCATTGCGATGAAGTCTATCTGATTTTTTGTATGCCGGCTAGGCGGAGTCTTAGTTTCTTGCTTATATCCTAGTGTTTATCACTGAGGGCGCAGAAACCTGCTAAGATTTCTCCATTATTATTCATTTCTCCAGGAGTCTGTAGACCTATGACGAGTTTCCCTTCTGTTTTGTCTAATCGCACTTTCGCATTTATATCGCCCATAGGGATTTCCATGTTTCAATTTGGGATGTCGTCCATTATTGTTTGCAGTTGCCTATAAAAATCTTCCTTCTTCTCTTGTACTGAGTTGTTTGTTGGTGCATAGCATTGGATAATGGTAACCTCCCCCTACTTCTTGTTGAGTTAAATCTTGCTGTTATAATCCTACAATAAGAGATTAGTTCCCACTGCATTAGGGCTTTGGCTGCCGCTGGTGACATCATGATAGCCACTCACTCCCTCAGTGTGCTCGTGACTGTTGTCTCGGTGACCGTAGTAGATTACTGACTCACCAGTTGACATATTTTATCATCCACATCCATTTTATCTGCTCTCGCAGATCCCCAGCACTTCTATGACATATCTCATTTCTCCGGCTACCTCGTCAGCCTTCCCAGCCAGACTCGTAAACTGTACTTACATTCCACGTCCCCATTATTATTCTTGCCTTCATCGAGAAAAGGCATATTGACTGACTGGCTTCCCGAAGGCGGGATTTCACCAGCCCACTGTATCACTTCGCCCCTCTGATTCCAGCGAAGAATAAGCTTGCTTTTTAATGTTCTTTTGTATTTTTAATATTTTTATTATGCTTTGAGGTTCCTGTATTAGTTTGATTGGGTTTTGTGGGGGTAGGAAAGCTAGCCCCAAGCCCAATTCTCCCTCTTTTCTCTGGCTTGGGACTGACTAGAAAACTAGCGAGCTATCAAATTAGGTGAATCTGCAGTGGCGTAGTAGGAATGCTTTTCGTGGCTCTCCAAGTTTCTGAATGACTTCACATTTGGGTTGAAAATTCGAAATGTTTTCTTTATGCTGAATGCAGTGATACTTGTCTCATTGGTTAATTTAAAACTAGGAGTCCACAGTTTATTGACTGAGTCCGTTTCACAGGTCATCGGGGTAGGTCTCAAAAACATCCCTATAAAGTAATAACACATAATTCTGTATGTTATGTACGTGATTCGAATCTTGTCTTTACGTAGATACCGTGTTTTCACTTTCATTATCGAACCTTTACAAAAACTCAGGTCAATAAACTGTTTATATTGACTGACTGACTGGTTTCAGCATAGAACTTCGCACACAGGTTCAACCTTATTTGCTGCAATGTTTGAAAATGGCATGGAAGAGTGTAGAGCTAATCGAGTTGAAATTACAGACATGGAACCAGATACTGTGGCTGAAGTTCAACGTTACATATATACTGGACAAGTTGTCAGTATGGATCGGTTGGCGCACGAATTATTAACAGCTTCTGACAAATATCAGTTAGTACGGCTGAAGACAATGTGTGAAGAAGCACTTGTAGAAAGTCTTTCAGTCGAGAATGCTTGTGATATATTTGCACTTGCTGATATGCACAATGCCGAACAGTTGAAAGCTCATACACTTGGGTTTATAATGCTACATGCTCATGATGTCTATAAAACTGAAGGCTATGAACAACTGGTACGACATCGTCCACGTCTGTTGAATGAGTGCTTTTGTAGTCTTGCCTCACAACAACTCCCTTTAAGATGTTGGGCACGTAAACGTCCTAGACAATCTTAAATTTTGTGAGTGCAATAACACCAGCAGAAAAAAGCATTATGCTTCATTATTCTCCTGTCTCTCTCTCTCCTCATCAGCGTTGTCCACCATCACACATCTCCATTTGTATTAAAAAAATTCCTGCACTTCAGAAATCATAACAAAATCACTGGGTTCTTGTGCGTCGGTGGCACAGTGGTTAGGACTCTCGCCGATCATGCATATGGTCTGGGGTTCGATCCCCTGCCGACGCACACCTGATATCAATGGTCAGGTCTACCGACACCATATGCTGGAAATTCCATACTTGTACCAAAATACTGTATGGTTTCAAGCTACAATCAAAAATAAATAAATAAATGATTAAAAGTACCTATTAAAATTTTTCAAAAGAATGGATACTGAACAAAGAGTACTCTTTGTTCTCTTTGTGTGCATCGGTGGTACAGTGGTTAGGACTCTCGCCGATCATGCATATGGTCTGGGGTTCGATCCCCTGCTGACGAACACCTGATATCTATGGTCGGCCTGCAAAATTTTGGCTAGCGATATCACATGCTGAAAATTCCATACTTGTATCAAAAATACAGTGTGGAATCAAGCTGTAATCAAAAATAAAATAAAATAAAATTTTCGATAACCTCTTCATCATCAGGCTCTACAGTTATATATACACATTATGGTGAATGAATGAATGAATTAGTGTTATGAACAGCATTAATGTTGTTTAAATAACATTGAATCAATAATAATATTGATAGATTACAGCTCAATAGCATCAACATAAAATAAGCTGAATGTTAGAAAAATTAGGAAAGATAGTAAAATTACAAATTCATGAATTCATAGTCTCTACTGAATGCCAGCCAGGGCAGTAGTAGTGGCTGGACTTGCTTCTTTTGAACACAGAGCACTGGTTGTCTGAGGCGAATTGCAATAGCCTCTGCTGTTTGTAGAATGCAGTGCTTCGATGATTTTGGTAATTTATTAGGCACCCGGTAGATGGTAATAGAGAAGGATTCTTCCACACTGGCTGACTTTGTGGCCGGTTTGGTCCAATATCGAACTGGTAATGGTTTTCACTACACCTTTACTTAGCCACAGCCTTATCTTTACAAGGTGCACCGTAATTGATAAGGTCGAGATACTTTGAAAAATGGGCTGTGTAACAAAGACAAGGTATGGATAACCTGATGATAAGGCACTGGTAAATTGTGCAATAATATGATGAGTGTTCAACTCAGATCATAGAAACACGGACAAAAGTTTCATTAACCAAAAGGGAAGACACTTAACCGAAAGGTTTTTATAATTATATAGAAAGGATGGTTGAGAAATAGAGTTAGTTATCAGGGCAAGGAAAGTCTGATAACCACTTTTTTCTGAAAAAAATAAATCGGACTGAACAACGGTGTTTGGCTTCTGTCAACATTTCGGCTCCTTGTGTAGATGCTTCGATGATATCTGAGGATTAACTTGAAGTAATTCGGTGAATGGTGACTAGCAGTGGAAACCAGGATGCGCGGTACGTCCTATCTGGAAATTTAAGGCCCAAGTGGTCTGGTGCATAATGCTTTAAAGTTTGAAACGATGGGTACTAGGTTCAAACGTCAAAAGAAATTTTATCCCTCATTAGAGAATGTCGGTATATTTACAAAACGAGTCCCAAATAAGATGATATGAGCGTCTTGGATTCCATCGCTAGTCACCATCCAGCATATTATTATTATTGTTCCCTTGGGTTCCTAGTAGAACATAGGGCTTCAACTGCACGTCTCCACTTGCCACTTCTGTCTTCCTTCTGCTGTACTTTTTCACCTGCTTCCATGCATGTTAGTCCAGACTGTTTCAACTCCCCTTCACACGATTTCCTCCATGTAACCCTTACACCGACGTCCCACTCACCGCTTCCCTTTCGGCCTGGTTCCACTCGAGCAATGGCCTGACGCGCGCGCGATGTCACCCAGCAACCCGGCCTCCTCAGCGAGTGTCCGATTCATCTCCACTTTCTCCTGTATATTTGTTGGTTAGCGATTGGTTCTTGTTTTGTTTGTTTGTTCCCATAGTTTCTTCTTGGTGATTCTTTCCGGCCCGGTCATCTGATCTTCAGTATAGAGCCAGCGAAGACAGTTAGTTGTTGATAAAAGTCTGCAACAGGCTGTTGGGAATATTCTTTGTGACTCGCCCGCCAAGTTTCTGATCCCTAGAGAAGAGCTGACTGACATGACGTTTGTATTGAAAATCCTAATTTTGTTGTTGAATCCAGCATATTACTTATGATTCATTTAAATTCCCTGGAATTACAGTTAGATTACAATTTTTGTATCATGCTTAGATGAGCAAAAGTTTACTCAGAATATCACATGTCTGATGAACTCACATGATACTCTAAGTAAGACGCAAGTTATAAATACCTTCATGTCTTTGTATATATAACTACAATCTTCAATCACATATTATTATTATTATTAATTTTATTAAATTTAGAAGTCAGTATTCTTTGTTATATATCAAATATGATGACTAATTTGCTGTTTAAACCTTGATAATGTCGGATAACTTAAGCGGTAAAAAGATTTCAATCTGCGCTAGCGTTATTATTATTATTGATTTTTAATGATCCTCTAAAATAGTAGAAATGATTCTTATTGGTTAATAATGAAAAATAGTTGGCCTTCAACCACTCAATCAATAGATCAATAGCCTACTGAATGACCTTTAACGATTAAATTAGCCTGGCATATTTATATTAAGTAATAATTGCAGGAAAAAAGAGGTAAAATAATTGAAATGTATGCAATTTTCTCCTCAAAAACACAATGATGTATTGAAAATGAATTCAAAGGGAATTTGTGAGTACAACAATCAAAGTGTTATTTCTATACGTTTTCTTTCCTTAGCTTGTTAATTATGAGTAATACTTTTGACTTTAAGTTTTGAAGATTATTACATCTCATTATTATCAATTGAAAAACGTTCGGATATTTTAAATACAAAATGGCTAATTAGGTTAGATTTTCGTGGATGTAGGAACATCCATTGAGATGCAGATGAGAAATGGCGAATGTTAGAGAACAAAAAAAATGGTCAAATATATGTATTGCATGGAGGATTTAATCATGAGCCGATATCAGTAAGAAAACCACTGAAAAACCAGCTGGGAATACTGGAAAGCTGTTTCGTCCTCGTTCGAGACTCTTCAGCAGTACGCACCCACCACAGACAAGGTTCGGACCCAGGACCTTCTGGTTTGAAGGCGAGCTCGTAGACCATTGAGCCACTGGGACCCGATCCAATGGTTCTTGAATTCTAACTTCTGCCGATTCACGACATAGCTCGACCATTTTTCAGTGTCTTCTTCGATGAGTGAGTTACTGCCTCACCTTCAATCTGCTGCACCCTGCTGGTCACGGCTTCCTACTAGAACCAGCCCAGGTTACTGCCTGAATAGGGCCAGTCGCTAATGAGCATCAGATTAATTTTTAAGTATTGGATTGTAGGGATTTCGTTTAATTTCTTGATGCTCATCAGCGACTGGCCCTATTCAGGCAGTTAATCTGGGGTTCTAATGGGAAGCCGTGACCAGTAGGGTACAGCAGGGTGTAGGTGAGGCAGTAACTCATCGAAGAAGGCATTGCAAAATGGTTGCACAATGTCGTGAATTGACAGAAGTTAGAATTCAAGAACCATTGGATCGGGTCCCAATGGCTCAATGGACTACGAGCTCGCCTTGAAACCAGAAGGTCTTGGGTTCGAACCCTGTGGTCGGTGGGTGCGTGCTGACGAAGAGTCCCGAACGAGGACGAAACAGCTTTCCAGTACTCCCAGCTGGTTTTTCAGTGGTTCTCTAACTGATATCAGCTCATGATGAAATCCTCCATGCAATCAAACAAAATCCCTACAATCCAATACTTGAAAAAATAAATATGTAAAACCTGGTCAATGTAGTAGGCTATAATTCCATATTATTATTCTTTTTAGTTATTAGACTTCTTTATGAGCCAACATCAGTTGGAAAGATCATTGGAAAACAGGGAGTACTGGATGCAACTATGCCGTCCTATTTTTTGCAACTGTTCATCAGTGCAAACTTACAACCACACCAGCGGTTGGACCTGGGACCTTCAGGTCAAGAGATCGAGCTCGTTCACTATTCAGCCAATTGGGCTGGAGTTCGGTGACTAGTGAATTCGAACGCTGTCGTTTCGTGATGTAGCGCTACCCTCACTAGTGGCTTCGATTAGCTTCCATGTCACCCTGACATGATGGACTCTATTGGTCATGACTTCTTAGTACAGCTTTAGTAAATCCATCCAGTTAGAATTCACGATCACCGAACTAAATCTCGTAATCTGAAGATCTCGGGTGTAGTCCCTGGTGTGGTTGTAGATGCGCACTGATGAATATTCGAACAATCCCTGGCTTTTAATGATCTCTCCATGTGACGTTAGTTGGCGAAGAAATCCAACAAGTGAAATAAATTGTAATCCATGCAAATTATTTTTATTGATGTGATATATCACACAGAGTGATACAGTGTAGTATTTAGTGGAGGACCTTTCGAACGCAAACTTTTGTTCACAATTACTTCCATTGTGTTCAAAATGTCATTTAGTAAATAATACTGTTTTACTCACTGTGTGATAAATCTAATAAAGATTCATATGGTTAAAGACGGCTTCAGTGAAGAAATCTACCCATCATGAGGACGAAGTGATATGGTGTATACACCCAAAATGACAGAGAAACAGGATTCGAACTAGTAATTCACAAATCATTTGATCACAACCTAACTCATATTTTATTTTTTTAATTTTTATGTTTTGATTACAGCTTGATTCCACACTGTATTTTCGGTACAAGTATGGAATTTCCAGCATAGATACCGGTAGCCCAAATTTTGCAGGCTGACTATAGATATCAGATGTGCGTCGGCGGGGGATCGAACCTCGGACCATGTGTATGATCGGCGAGAGTCCTAACCACTGTGCCACTGACACACTAGAAAATGACACATGCAG